ACTGCTTCTGTTGTGTCTAATGTAGTTAATGCACATCTCTCAGTACCAGAACAGGTAACAGGAAGATTTTACACAGAATTGTCAATCACCTGCTGTGCTGTGGAGACGCCTTGATACTGATAAGTAAGTTTATTTTTCTTTCAGAGGTTAATATTTAGTATTTACCCTTTTGTTTGTTTCATTATTCCTCATTTCCAACACTTGCTGTCAGTGAACCCAGACTGGATGTTAACTGTAAGTACATTTGACTCTTTTAATAACCCAAATTATTATTATTTTTTAGTTTTATTTCATAACTGTAGCAATAATTCTTGAATGCGGTATATTATGTCCTCAAACAGATTAAAAACTTCTTCAGTTAAACCAGTTTTGTTTCACAGGAATTCAATTTCAACAGTTTCAAGATATCACGTTTAAAGTCTGACAAAAAAAAATTTAGCATATTTTTTCACTTTAAACCTTACATGTGTCATTTCCTTATTAAAGGTTCAGTGTACAATATTTAGGAGGATCTTTTGACAGAAATACAATATAATATCCATAACTATGTTTTCAGTAGTGTATAAAGACCTTACATAATGAACCGTTATGTTTTCATCACCTTAGAATGAGCCATTTCTATCTATCTACACCGAGGGTCCTCTTACATGGAAGTCGCCATGTTTTTACAGTAGCCCAAACGGAGAAACTGCTCTACAGACTGTGTTTCATCACTACATTGAATACGTCTGAAAAACAAGCAGCAGAAGAAGAAGAAGAACAAGTAACGTTAGTAGTAGTAGTAGTAGTTTAGCAGTAGTAGTAGTAGTATTAGTAGTATGGTTTATTAGAAGAGAAGTGAAATTCTGACAAATGGAGGACCACACATATATTTAACAAAGAGCCGACCTAACGTGTCGGTCATCGTAGCTTCTCCTGCATGCTTGGAAAAGAAGGGCTGAGCGGTGACTGATGGTGCATTCATGTGGTGTTGAAATAATTGGATTTTTTTCCTTTTCCTTTATTGCAAAAAGAAGAATAACGTGTAAATGGGACATAAAAAAGTATAGAAAACAGCAAACAAATATAAGAAGACACAAATAATAACAATTTTGCCAGGGGTAGTCTGTATCATATATACATATTAAAAGAGGACCATGTGTTGAAAGTTTTCACAGCCTTTTTGTTGTTGGATTTAGTAATTAAATTGCTCTGATAATGCTAATCTAACACATTTTTGTAGTAGCGTCCATGTTGATTCCACATTCTGACATAAAAGCGCATGAACACACCAGAAGTCGGAAGAACGACTTCACAACTCGGGAAATGGGACCATCCGAGGAGCACGTGAATGCACAGTGAGCCGTTGGTTGCAAACTGCCACCCTCACCACGAGATGCTACTAAAACTTACACACTGAACCTTTAAACATGAATGCATCACAGAAACAAAATGTCATTTTAACTTTTTATCTTTGTAGTGAAACCTGTTTGTTGCCATGGTTCAGCAGTGATGCCTGCCTTATGCCAAGGTTACTGAGCTCAGCAGATGAGAAAAGAAACACTTTCATCTTTCAGCCCCGTTGGGTCTGGACGCCATGGTACATTTGTGGCCGAGGCTACGTCTGTACGCTTTTCCCCAGTCACTCTGCTCCCGGGGGTTCTGGAGCGGGTCCGCCAGGACAATGTCGGCCTACTGCTCGTAGCCCCGTTCTGGCCAACCCGGGTGTGGTTCTCGGACATCATGATCGCTCCTGGACGGCCCGCCGTGGCGGGTCCCTCTGAGGAGAGACCTGCTGTCCTTCACCCTTGCCCCGCCATATGGCGACTGTGGGTCTGGCCCCTGAGGGGGCACAGTACCTAGAGGCGGGTCTAACAACCGGAGCAGTCGAGACCCTCCTCAGCTCCAGGGCCCCGTCCACACGGATCCTCCGTGGTGCCTGGAGGATGAGACCTGCGACTCGGTCCAAGGTTCCCACTTGGGATCTGGCGGTGGTTCTTGGGGCGTTGGCTGAGGCCCCCTTCAAACCCCTGGAGTCAGCTGAGGCTAAGCACTTGACCCTCAAGATGGCCTTTCTCCTTGCTATCACCTCTCTGAGGAGGGTGGGGGATCTCCAAGCGCTTTCGGTTTCCCCGCAAGCCTGGAGTTTGCCCGGGGGAATATTAGGGCTATCCTGCACCCTCGTCCAGGATACATCCCTAAAGTGCCTTCTTGTGCGGCAGGGTCCACCGTGCTGCAGGCATTTCATCCTCCACCTCATGTGACGGCGGAGGGCGGGAGACTTCATCTGCTCTGCCCTGTCAGAGCACTGATTGTTACACTCTGAGGAATCAGCCTCAATACTCACGTTCCCCTTCCAGGGAACTCGAACTGCGTCGGTTACGACACTATGGGAACGAGATACCCACTAAACCGTGCCGAAAACCCCGCCTGCCCCAGTGTGCAATAAAGTGGCACGACTAAGAGGAGAGCGCACGAGTGCCAGGTGCCGAAGGAAGGTCAAGACTGTAAAACCGAATGAATGTGTGCGGAGTGGCCCAGCCAGCCGCTAAACAAACATCCTGCAAAGAGGCCCCGGAAAGGAGGGCTCGAGAGGCCGCCATGCCTCTGGTAGAATGAGCCCTCACAGCCACAGGTGAACTATGGAAATGCTCTGACTGACTCCAGCTGGGACTTGGATTACTCTGATGATGCTGTTTATAAATGGATCAATCACTTTATTAGAGTATTGATAAGACATTTTAAAAACATGATTTTGGTTTCAAAATGCCATTTGTCTTAATAAAATGAATTGCCAGAGAAATAACATTGAGACAGATAAATAGATCTTGCTTCAATTATAAAATTTTATTGTTCATGTTTTTATTTTTCCTCCTTTACCCTGGCGGCTAACTCAGAGCAGCTTAACTAAACATTTCTTTACACATTCCTGTCAAACTGAAATTGAAACAAGTTGAAGTGGAGAAAAGATGAAACTTTAATCTTAATGTTGAAATGTTTGCCAAGATTAGTTTTAACATTTCCAACACAGTATGACTTTTGTTATGATTAAAGTAAATTGAACAGAGTGCAGATAAAAACAGGTATTTCAAAATGTTGCATGTTGTTATATGTGTTATTGTTAGGAAAAGGAATACTTTATTTCCACAGGTAAAAGTGAAAGGACAAGTGGCACTACTTTTTGTTAGTTACCGCAATTGTCCATTTTTCTGTCAATAAGTGAAGTGATACAGCTGAGGAGTGATTCCTGTATGTTTGAATTTGCTCTTGAACAGCAAAGACATTTAAACTGTATCTAGTGGTTCAACTCATCATTATAGCTGTTAATGTAAGTGAAGAAACACTTTGGTGATGATTGAAAACATGTGATTGTAGTCAGTTCATTTCTGTATTGGTTTCAACTAAATAAATAATTATACAGTTAAGTTTTTTTCATGATCTTGATAAATTTGATTTGCATGAGAGGCTTCTTAAAGGGAAGTGAAACAATGTGTGAGTGAGTGGCAGGTGGAGCAGAAAAACCATCTGACAGAAACTCCTTAAAGGAGAAAATCAGCTCTCACACAGTAAAGGTGTCCTCTAAGCTGATTGGTGTCTCCTAGGTGATGTCCGTCCCACCCTGACGGTGCTGCCCCCCTCCAGTGAGGAGCTGCAGCAGGGGAAGGCCACGCTCATGTGCCTGGCCAACAAGGGCTTCCCCTCAGACTGGAGTCTGGCCTGGAAGGTGGACGGCAGCAGCAGCAGCAGCAGCTGGGAGGAGAGCAGGAGCCCCGGGGTGCTGGAGAAGGACGGCCGCTACAGCTGGAGCAGCACCCTGAGGCTCCCTGCAGACCAGTGGAGGAAGGTGGGCTCTGTGACCTGTGAGGCCACCCAGGGCTCCCAGGCTCTGGTCTCAGAGACACTGAGGAGAGACCAGTGTTCCCAGTCCTGACCTGACTCACTGGGACTCTGCTACTGGTTTTACTCTGCTCTCTGAACTCTGTAACTCTCTCTGTGTCTGTGTCTCTTTCTTTCCTTAAGTCACTCTCTAATCACATGTTTCATGGTTAAAGTTTGTTTACTGGATTTAATTTGGATTATTTCAACACAATAAAGACCAGTTCATTCAAATGTGTTGTTTTCATTTCTGTTATAGTGACTGTACTCTGTTACTCTGTCATCAGATCATATTAACAATATTCAACTTTAAGTAGTGAAGATTCATTGATGCAATAATGCTCATGCTGTTAACACTGTAAGACAATAAAAAAAGTTATTTCAAATTAAATAATATTTCATGATAGTTTTATTTTTTACCAACAAAGATGCATTTTCCTTCATTTTGTCAGTGCAGGATTATATCTGAGGTAATTTCTTGTTCTCCTTGAGTCTCACCTTACAGAGTCTCTGTTTAGCAGAGACACTGTAAAGTTTCTCTTTATAGCTGCATTAAGAGAACTTTCTAAATGCAGTATAAACAAGGTGTGAATGAAAGAATGAAAGCGGGTGTTTTCATGAATTCATTTAAAATGTAGTTTGTACAAATCTACATTACTCAATACAGTTTCAAGGATTAAAAATGAAATTAAAGTACTTTCAACATGAGATGGTTCTTATCTCAGATTTTCAAACCAAAGATTTTATGTCAGTGTTGCATATACCACACAGTGACACATTGGTCTATTCTGATGAAGCATGCAGGGTGAAACAGTAAACACAAATATCAAATTTCCATCACATACTCCTCCCTTGTGAGCATTCTTTGATCACTCAAGAATATACAGCATTACAAAAAGATCATCAGGTCATAGAAAGGCATCATGATGTAATCTACACCAGTTTAACCAAGAAAACGAATCTGGGTCCTTCCTTTCATCACAGTTCTGCTGCTGCAACAATGGCATGTTCACTTGTTCATGGAGTGTGATCATTTGAATAGACACACATTTATCAATAGCTCTTACAGTCAAACCTCTGGCACATGGAATAATGCAACATCCACAGAGAGGTAACAGCGCTACAGCAATCATTAGGCCTGCTAGTATGGGCATCACTAAGGCTTTTTATTTAGCAAATACAGAATCAGACCAGTCAAACATATTAGTGTCCACTTCAGAGTTCTCTGCAAGTTCTTCTCGTAGCGAACGCATTCCTTCCAGCACTGGGGTCACCGAACCATCTGGAGCTGTATTGTTGGGCACAAACGTACAAGAGGAGTTATTAAAATTATCCAAGCATCCCAGCCTCTTTGGGTGCTTCTCTTGCCTCTAACACTGCTATGTGATGTCAATGCCTGTGTGTAGTTCACTGTGGTGTTCTGTTGTGGTGGCTTTTGTGCATCATGCTTGTGATCTAAGAACTGCAACAGAGGAACTGTTAATGTTATTGCAATGGCAGCAAACATCTGTGTTGTTCCTCGTAGGCCCACACATGTCTGGGTGTCTGACTGGGTCCCATGGATGTCTCCTTCCAGAGACAAACATGCTACTCACTCTTAAATCAGCAGTGGTGAGACCAGGAGTTTTCCCACTAGCTCCCTTGTGTTGATGTTTGCTGTCTAACAGCCTGTGAGTCCGAGACAAAGGGTGCCTAAGCGTTCCCAATCCCTCCTTCACTCACAACACAAGGTCAGGGAAAACAGTGGTTCAGTTGCTGATTGTGCACGCTTGTTGATCTGTTACTGTTCTGGTGCAGGCACCTTCCTGCAGTGGCTGGTATGTATCCATGTAGCTCTTTCAGCCTCCACAACCACCACAAAACCTCCTGGCGGGAGACTGCATCGGCTTTGTTGCTGGAGAGGGAAAAACTTCTATCCATTTTGGAAACATATCAACTATCATCAACAGTACTTTTTTGCCTTTGCTTGGGTTTAGCTAAAAACCTCCCTCATAAGGTGGTTCAACGGTTCATCTGGTGGTGGATGTGTTGCTAATGAAACCTGTAATCCCCTCCCTGTGTTGTGTCTTAGGCAGATTGAGCATGTTTGACAAAAGTTGTGAGGGTGTGTTGTGAAACCTTTCATGAACCAGTGTCTTGCTTCACCACAATATTTCATTAGTGATACAGTTACAGTTTTACAACACCAGCACTCTGTAGTTTTCTAGTAAGGCTAAACTAAAAAGGAAGAAGAAGAATTGGTTAGTGTTAGATATTAGGCTCTGGCCGCTGCTCCTGTTTAGGAGAGGGAAAACTTTCAACAATGACAACAAGACAGTAATTCTTTCACGTGATGTTAGTTCAATCAATTATACGATCACGTCCCTCATTTCGCTGTAAATAAAAACAAATTATGGCACGTTATTCTGGGTGACACTCTGCTCTGTGTGTGTAAAACAGCCTCTCTGAATGAGTGTTACGAACCTCCAGTGGAAAGTCCAGGGGATGAGGAGGTTAGTGACAATAATAGAATCATTCCAGGTTGAAGGAAGCCAGGAGACAGCTTTTACAGGTCGTACGCGTTTTATTTACAATGAGGAGAAAAAAAAGCTAAGGTACCCTCAGGGAGGGTCTACAAAAAACAACTTCCCAAAAACAAGGAAGCGCCCACAAATGCCACAAATGAGAAAACAACACAGGATACAATAACGAATTTCGCCCTCCCTCCACTGAGGGAGTGAACCCCACCACAAGGTTCAGACTTATCGCTTGCTGCACTGTCGTTTCACCCAGCTCACCATGCCGTCTGCACTCCCCACTCTCCACACCCAGTCTGCCTGCTTTCTGCTCCTTATACCGGCTCCTGCGCTCCCGCTGATTGTAACTGGGGACAGGTGTGCACCCTAGCCTCCTGGCTGCAACATTAGAGGGGGGAAGGGCAGGACCTGCAGGGCACAGACAAGCAGCAGTACACAGACACAGGGCTCAAGGGCCGTAACAATGAGTTTCAACCTTGAGCTTCCAGGCTGTCTGATAACACATCTCACACACAGACTTGTTGTTCACATTACATTCCATCTCTAACACTGAGCGACTTAGATTTGCATTCAGTTCCCCCTTTTCTCTGTGGAGGAGAGTGCATGGGCAAAACTCCGGACCATGTTTAAAAAAAGGGATTTAAACAATAACATCAAAAGACAAGGAACGAGCAGGCAGCAGTCTTTTCCTGTAAAAATGGCGTCAATCTGTTAGCGTGCATCGCATTTTATCATCAACACAGCAGCAGCACACAAAGAAACATCCAGCATAACATAAAAGCAACGGACACAGCAAGCAACATGACAATAAGCACCGGGCATCTGGTCTGCTTCCAAGATGTAGTGTCAAAACAGGTCATGTGATCGTCCTTTGGTCAGCAGCCTAAGTAAAAACGTAGGTCATGTGTTTGTAGTACCTGAGTACAGGCAGACTATAGAGAGCCATTTCAGTCAGTGAGGCTCTGTCAGCTCAGCTTCGTCAGTTCAAGTTATTCAAGTGCACTATTAGTTTACCATGAATCATGAGAGAGAGATTTATCTCTCTGTTCATCCTTTTTTAGTAATAGGATCTCTTGTCCATAAAATCATCATCACCTCTTTATGGTTATTGGTTCTGGAATAGATGAAAAGGCTTGAATGCATTGGGAGAGAGAGCTTTACTCTCATTGTGATCGCATTCCCAGATAAGTTATTCTGTCTATTCGAATTGCAATTAGAGACAGACAAACTAACCTTGTGTGTGGCCATTGTGGACGAACCGCTTTAGCAACACAATGGTCATCTCAGCATGCTGTGTGTGATGGACTGCAGAACGGAAACCGACCAGTCGCGTGGGAAATAAGATTTTAAAAACAGACGTTGCCTTTGATGTAAAGCTGTGAAACCTGCAGTGCTCACTGGTGCACTAATGCATTTACCACCACTCTGTTGCTCTGTTGGTTGGCCTTCAGCACAATCTTTTTGAAAATGTGGGTGCGTACAGGTCACTCCAGCCTGCAGCAGTGAACAAAAAGAAAACATGTTTAATATTTCCAAGCGCTTCTTTTTTTTATTAAATATTATTTCACACATAAATCAAATCAAACTTTGTGTTAACTATAGCTATAGACTCTCATTCAATTTGCACCTCACACATGAGGTCACTACGGTGGCCTGTAGGTTTCAGGCCTAATACAAAAGCCACAACACGAACACAAATCCCACAACACAAATACAATTAAAGCTGCAAGCAGCGTTGGGCGGGCCCTCGCACTTCCTGTGTCCCCTTTGTGGCACTACATAGCACTTGGCGCTATGAATATAAATTAATATTGGCGTGTGGATGTCTTCGGGGTGGAACATTTATCAAGCACGTAAAGTTTTGTTCAGATGTGAGCATGTACACTGAAGTTACAACAATTTCCTGTGTCATGGCGAAGAGTTGATCTTTGACGCCACGCCACGGACACGCCCATCGACGAAAACTCACAGATAGCACAACTTTCCCTGCCGCCGCTCGACTGCGGTAATGTTTACGTTTATCTTGTGGGGAGCCCCTCACCTAACACAGCTCAGGCTTGTCTCTTCCTCCATTTGTGCATCAGAAAGTACAACTACCATCCAGCATTTTGGCAATGCAAAAGTAAAAAACTCATAGTAACAGTGGATCACTTGCTTCCTGGCAGTGGAAAATAACGTCTTTTTTGTCCTCCAAGGGAGCGTTTTTCATGGAATGTGACGTCACGTCAAAACTATGAATAGGGGGTGCTGCAGCACCTCCACACCCCTTTGTATAAGTATAAAGTCATCTCCATGGTAACCTGAGACTCCTTGCTTTTTGTTTAGCACATTTTGAGTCTATTTATGATGCTAATCTGCACAGATAGCTGTTTAATTCACACAAATATCCCGCTGTATATTATTTGACCAGAACAGAAGTATTACTTATTTATCAAACGGGTAAGAAGTTCTTCTTCCACGTAGGCCTACATTTACTAATTTGGCATTATGCGGGAAAAAGTCACAGGAAGAAGAAAGTTCTTTCTAAAATTTGAACCCAGACCTCCTGAATGTGGAACAGCTACATAGTCGCTGTACTACTGTGTAGCTGTGTTCTGCAGACAGTAATCTACTGTTACTAACGTCTCTTTCGTTGTCAACTTCCGTTGTGGCTTTTGTATTTGTGTTGTGGCTTTTTGTAATCGTGTTGTGACTTTTTTGTTCGTGTTGTGGCTTTTTGTATTTGTGTTGTGGCTTTTTTGTTCGTGTTGTGGCTTTTTTGTTCGTGTTGTGTGTTCGTGTTGTGGCTTTTTGTGTTCGTGTTGTGGCTTTTGTATTAGGCCTGAAACCTATGGGCCACCATAGGTCACAGTTTAATGTTTTAACCAGTGTACTCAAATTCCAACTTATGGGCCTGTTGTCAGTCAGCCAACTCCGGGCGGACTTGCATCCCCAAATCCATCTGTTTCCAAATCACTTTGCTTCGCCATGTGTATATGTCCCCCTTGGTACTGCTAAGATCAGAGAAGGAGAAAAAGAAACAAAACAACAGCGCAGCACTCCTTGATCCAGATATTGAAATAATTCTCTCTCTCTCTCTTTTTTCACTGTCTCTATTCCATAAATAATTAAAAATTGTTGCATCCTGTCCATCAGAACTGTGTACTGTGCAGTGTAATGAGTCTATGTGCATGTATCCAAAGGTCTCTTAGAGTGTGTGTGTGTGTGTGTGTGTGTGTGTGTGTGTGTGACATGGGGGTCACTCATTCAGTGCTCTGATAACTGAAATAAGTGTTTAACAACTATGTCATCAAAATTCATTATTATGATACCTTATATGCAATACCTGCCTGTTTTCAACATATCATGTAGCAATATTATCCCCTGCTGGGGTTCAATTTACTAACAGCTACTTTGGCAGTTTGCTAAACTCTTTGTGGTTATCATTCATCACCAATGTAGGCTGTTCAAGCTCATCAGCATTTACTAATAAATTAATATAGTATTACTTTGTTTTTTTACCTTCAATTTGCTTAAGTTTTTATTTTTCTGTGAGAAATTGTGACTCACCCAGTGTGTGTGTGTCCCAGTTGTTTCCTGTCACTAGCGTCCGTCCCGCCCCCTCCAGCTCAGTCCATTTGGATCTGTTTTGTATCTGTCCAGACAATCTCTGTGTACCAATGTCCATTTTTGTCCACCGGTCTCCCCTACTGTCCATTTTCTCGTTAATACAGAGTTCTTCAGCCCCTTTTGATGGCTATTTTATCACTTTGTCCTCTTTGTATAAATCTTCAGCTTGCATGCCCTATCAAATTTCAAAATATATATCAAAAAAATATCAAATTTCCATCACACCTATTTCATCAGTGTTTTATTTGCATGAAGACAATATACTCAGTCCTGTCAATTCATCTACCAAAGTTTAAACAAAAAATATTTTAGGCTTTATGATGAGAAGACTCATTAGCAAAAAAACAACAACACAGAATATATCAAATTAACAAAATATGAAAGTGATTTCACATTTTACAAATCAACATGGAGGTGCATTGAATTTAAATAAAATACTCACCTAAAACAAAGGAAAACTTACAAAATGACATTTCTTATTATTGTAACCTCTCAGTGTGTTTCAGTAAAATGTAACTTTACAACTTTTAACTCCATGAGTTTCATTCTAATTAAAGTACATTTACATACATTACATTACAGTATGGTTATGTTTTTGAAATATCTAGTGTTATGGTTTCTGTGCAGCTGGTGATTCAGATCAGTTCCTCTCCAGCTGAGGGAAGTTTTTGTACGACGTTGTATCACTGTGTGAATGGGAAGCTGTGACCACCCTGGTGACAGTAATAAACTCCTGCGTCTTCAGTCTGGACTCCTCTGATGGTCAAAGTGAAGTCAGTTCCAGACTGACTCCCACTGAAACGATCTGAAACTCCAGACTGACGGTTTGTAGCATGATAAATCAAGAGTTTAGGAGATTCTCCAGGTTTCTGAAGGTAACAGTCTACCTCATAACTAACACTTGTACTGGCTTTACATCTGAGAGAGACAGTCTGTCCTGGAACAACAGACTGAGATCCAGGAGACTGAGTCAGGATGATTTCTCCTGATGAACCTGGAAAACATGAAAAAGAGGAGAAGGGTTATTGAGACAAATCCAGTTTGGAGAAAGATGATCAACATCCAAACAGAAGAGTCTCGTTTCTTTAACATGGAGAACAGATGGAAGAAGGTAAATGCTGCTTGTTTCAGTGTTTCTCCATCACAGCAGAACATCATTGTGGTGAACCTGGTTGCATCCTGAAGCAAAGTTTTCAGAAGAGAGTCTCACCCTGAACAAGGAGCCCCAGGGTGGCCAGCAGTAGAATCAGTGACATCATCATTGTGCTGCCGGCGTGTCAGTGGCTCTGAAAGGCCTGGACAGCCACTGATCAACACTGGCCTCTTAACGGCTGGGAGCAGAGAGGCAGGACACATATGCAAACACACAGAGTCAGTGAGCTGTAGCTGTCCTCAACATATCATGGTGTTTCCTCCTCAGTGCTGAGAGCGTTGATCTACATATTTACATATTTACATGTAGACGATACTGAAAACACGTCATTTTTAGTAACTTCTACATGTAATTTGGTAATATGATATTTGAAACAATTATTACTGACATTAATATCAATGTAGGTTTGACATCTTTAGGTGTCTGTAATATGGAAAGTTCTTTAAGTAAAGTAGTGTTGGGTGTTTGAGGGGATGCTGAGGCCGACGATCTCAGAGAGCTTCCTCAAGAAACTCCAACCAGAAAACATGGAAGTCATCATCAGTTACATTACTGTTTTTATGACATGATCTTCCTCAGCAGATGGAGTTCATCCAGCTGTCATGGAATATTTTAACTTTGAAGCCAACGTGGACATGAAGTCCTAAAAATGCTCAGAGGAATGTGAATTTAAAAATCTACATTTAAATGAAAACCGGGTGACTCCATCTGCTGAGGAAGATCATGTGATGTGATTGAAAGCTCCACAACAGTTAGTGGATGGATGTTGTTGATGATGAGGATGAGTTTGTTTTGCTGTTTCCAAGGTTAAGAATAAAATTTAGTCTCAGTGTATTTGTGGAGTTTTGATTTGCATGTTGGAGAAAATGTGTTATTCCATATTGTTTAGTATATGTGGATATAGTTATATCAAGAAGGTTACTTCTTTCTTTAGAATTTTTATGATTGAAGTTTATGTATTTAAAATATTATTTTGTGCTTTCAGGGATGTACTGGTTTTGATTGGACAGTCTCTGATCCTGAATGTTTCTGATACCAATCTGTGTCTTCATATTTTCAATTAAATGTATATCGTTGAAATTGCTTTAATCCCGTATGAGGCTGAGGTCAAAGGTCATGAACAAGACTTTCCTCATCTGCCTTTTCAGACTGGCTACTTATTTGGCAAATCAGAAAAGACAGTGGGATCATAAAAAGATCTGAATGGATGGTGAGAAGCTGTGATGGAGAAAGTAATCTGATTTCATATTTTTTGTAAAAAAATTTTCCTACATGTTTATTGGTGGTTAAAGCAAAAGTTGTGAAATCTTGAACCTCATAGATGACGTGTGTGTGTGTATGTGTGTGTGTCCTCAGTGAAGTGTGTCAGTCAGCTGCAGCAGTCAGTTCAGTTTCTGTTCAGTCTGACTGAGGGAGGTTTTTGTACGACGCTTTTTCACTGTGTGAACACAGCTTGACTGTTTATAGCATGATAACTCTGACAGTAGTAAACTGCTGCATCTTCAGTCTGAACTCCACTGATGGTCAGAGTGAAGTCAGAGTTTGATCCACTGCCTGTAAAACGACCTGGAATCCCTGATGCTCGAGTGCTAGCAGCGTAAATGAGGAGTTTAGGAGTTTCTCCATCTCTCTGTTGGTACCAGGCTAAAAGGTGGTTGTTGCTCCAAAATTGAACATCCTGACTAGTCCTACATTTGATGGAGACGGAGCCTCCCAGAGCAGAGCTCACTGCTCCAGGCTGAGTCACTGTGACCTGGCCTCTGGACTCTGAGGATACAGAGGCAAAAACATAAAGCAGCGTCATGGTTTTGTGGGCTTCATTTCAGAGGGACAGATGTTCATAGAGGAGAGGAGTTTGATTCTCTGGACTTTACCTGTGAAGCAGCAGCAGAGGAGAGTCCAGATGAGGACGCAGATCAAAGTCATGTTTTTGATGAGGAGGATTTCTGTGGCTTCTGTTGTCATGAAGGACAGCTGTCAGTCATCCAGTGTTCAACTCTCAGGACTATAAACTCTCCCAGAGCACTGGAGCATGGTGCTGCTGATGCAAAGTGGCTCTCTATGGAAATGCTCTGACTGACTTCAACAGGGACTTGAATTTCTCTGATGATGCTGTTTATTAATTAATGGATCAATACGTTCAACAAAGTATTGATTATGAATGCGTGAGAGCTGAATAGTAAAGTAATGGGAAAGCCAGTATTGGATCAATACACACATCAATCACATATTATGTCTGATATTTGAAATATGATGTATTCACAGCAGTCCTTTTAGTCTTCAGTGTCGTTAACCAGACTGCAATCCACTCCAATTAAATTGTTATATTCGGGCTCAAGAACTTTGCCAATTTCTTTTGATTCAGTGTTTAATGTGCACAGGATTCAATCTTCTTCCCAGAGTAAGGATTTTAAAGCCATTGGACATGTTTTAGTTGTTGATGTTGTTGTTTTATCAGTTTGAAAGAGTAGTTTAGTAGTTATCCTTGTTCATTTGAATGTTTCAGAAATGAAGCCCGACTGTTCAGTGATGATTCCAGCTTACATGAACACATTATCATTTATGATTGTCATTTTTGATTGAGACAAGAACTATTTATTCTAGTTGAAACAAATAAAGCCTCGCAATCTTCTCCATATGGGAAATATTTAATTAAAAAAATATATACACCTGAATAAAAGTGTGCCTGTTTTAACTTTTTATCTTTAGTATTGAAAACCGTCTGTTGTCATGGTTCAGCAGTGATGCCCGTCTGTTTTTTTGGTAACTGATTTCAGAGAGGGAAGTGAAACCAGTTTCATCCAATCTGACGAAGACCAACAGAAACTTGCAGCCTCTTCTGCTGCAATCAACAGGATGGAGTTTAGTTTACCTCATTTAAACTTTATTATTGCTCTCTTTGCAGTGGGTCGAGTCATCGCAGAACACTCTGGAGAAGCTCTCTGTGTCTTAAAACAATATAAAAAAACATAATAATAAGCATCAATTGCATTGTGTTCACATGTATTGTTACAAGAATAACTGCTGAAATATATTGCATTCTTGTCTCACTGTCAGATAAGTAGGATTTTATAATTTCATTACTTATTTTTTTTTACATTGTATGACACAAACTATCTGTCAAAACAGACTTATCACAGATTTAGAACTACAACAATGGTTATTTTATTGTCATATTCCCATGTGTAGTTGTAACCCAATGCTGCTCTCTTGTGGAATTGTTATGGTACCACACAAGTTCTCAAGTAACTTATGCAGGCTTTTTGCTGATGTGTCTGTGTGTTGCGAGTGATTTATCCAGAGCACAAAGGGCATCAGTGACACTGAGGCAGGACAGACAGAAGTATGATAAGAACTGTGCTCTAGGGTACTTTACATTTTTAGGCTTCCCATGGCTCCATGGACGGCAATGTTGGTCTGTTAATCGGCTGGTAAGTCCACTACTTTGGTCCAAAGTTCAGGTCTTTCAGGTCAAAGTTGTCTGATTCTGTTATATAGGCTGTAGTATCACTAATTTAGTAAAGACTTTTGTGGTTCCTAGATGCTGTATGACAATTACAGTGCAGCTCCACATGAGGTTCACATTTATCATTTTAGTGAAATGTCTCAACAACTATTTGATGGGTTGTCTTGAAATATTGTACACACATTCATGTCCCCCTCTGGATGAATTGTAATAACGTTGGTGATCCTCTGACTTGTCATGTGGTGCCATCACTTACAGTTTTTCTCAATACTAACAAGCATTAACCTGAACTTAAGATACTCTATTAACTGTTAACACAGTAACACACCTACCTCACAGAATTAGCCAAATTTTATATTTTCTGCTCAAAATCACATTTTGTTCTTTCAAATGCCAAAAAAACATTCTCTACATACACAGACTATCAAAACAAAGCAAACCAGACTCAAAATCAAATCATTCTAACAAAACACTAGCACATTTTCTTTCCAAGAGGAATAGATCAATCAGTCATAGCACAATAACCTTCTAAATACAAACAGTTGATGGCATTACAAAAACTGCATTACTTTCATGTTTTGGCTCTAAATGCATACAGTAGACTGTGTGAAATCCATTGTTTTTTGTAATTG